GAATCATGCCTTTTATTTGATCTTTTAACATTTACCCCCCATGGACGGCTTTTATGTAGCTTTATGTAAATATGCTTATACAGAAGAAAAGGTTTTGTTTCAATATAGACAGAGAAATTATATTTGACTTTTCTTTAGCTGAGTTTTCCAGTAATATCCTATCATATCAAACTTTAGCTTCTTAGCCAATTAGAAATGTTGGTAGATTCAAAATTGCAATTTGTGAAATTCTATTGCAACGAATATTTAAACAGTGTAAATGTTTTTTTCTAATCCTAAAATAACAGAGAACTTCCGAATTATGCACTTTACACTGTTGAAAACCGACTGTTAACTATTCAGTGAAATTACTTTGGATCTAAAAGAGTTTTACTTTCTATAATAATTTAAATATTACTGAAACTAACAACAAAAAAAACAGGTTAAAAATACTAAAACTATTTTTTTGACAAAAGCTATCTGAGACATTAATAAGAAAAAGTAACACCATTAGCTTGTTTTGTTTGTTTTCAGACACGGAAGAAAGAAATATAATATTTAAAAAATGTAACAATTTTCTAGTATCAATCGTGATATCTAAATCTGCGAAGAAAGTGTTTTTTTGCTAGCTCAATGGCCTCCAGCAAATTTTTATTTTAACTAAATATCCTTTAATTTTTAATATTAAAAATGGCTAACTTTGCTATCAAAGCCAGCATCATAGATGGAAAAATAAACATCGCTTAGGGTGTACGTGTTAGTTGGTGGTTTAAACAGTCCACCGGTGGAACAGTGGTAAGTTTACGGATTTATAGCGTTGAAGTCCGGGGCTTGATTGCCCGTGATGGGCACAGCAGATAGCTCAACGTGGCTTTGCTCTAAAAACAAACAATTGGTTTTAATAATTTTACTCTCAGCATTGTTATTGACAAGACTAGTATCTCAACTTGAACGTACACGTATACACTTCACTCAAAAAAGAAAAAAAAATGCAAGACCTTTTGAAACATAGGTGGCAGCACAGGTGTATAGGGTGACTCGTTGAATAGTGATTTCATATTTAAAGCAAAAATAACATTTTAAAGATATTATTCTCACACCACAACTACAGTCCAGCGGAAAGGTATCTTTTAATGCAACTTTAGGAAAAAACAACAGAAATAAAAGTCGAATAGATTATTTTCCGTGGACTGATTTAAAAAACAACAAGAAAAAACAGACGAGTATCCAATTAAAATATGATCAAAGAAACAAGAAAAGTATGCATTTTGTAAAACATGATCTAGAATATATCAGTATCAGAAGTATAATCAAGCAGGTAGAGATTAATGGTTACATTTCAAGAAATGTAATTTAAATCATGAAATATGTATGAGGGCTACAAAAAAATAATCGCTACACTTTGGTCTTCAGGCAGTTTGAATTGAAAGAAGTTAGAAAGAGAAAAACAACTACTCCAAAAATAAAGGAGCGAAAATGTTGTTTTTAAGGATATATATATAAGTTATTAATGGGCGCATGTCTAATGTTATGACAGACTAGAACAGTGTATATATTTAACGGAAATGTGAGCTAGGACGTTGATAAATTCAGTTAAAAGATGGGCGAGGACGTGGATAAGCCGGTAACAAGATGGGATATAGGATGTTGGTAACTTAAGACGAAATATGAATAGAAACGTTGATAAGTTCGGTGTAAAAATGGGCTACGATTGATATACTCAGTGGAAATATGGGCTAGGATGGTTGATAAGTTCGGTGTAAAAATGGGCTACGATTGATATACTCAGTGGAAATATGGGCTAGGATGGTTGATAAGTTGAGTGACAAGGTAGGTTAGGACATTTCATAAATTCAGTGACAATATTAAACTTAGCGACAAGATGGGCTAGGACGCTAATAAACTCAATGACAAGACTGACTAGGACATTGGTACATTCATTGCAGATTTGAACTAAGACATTTGTTAAATTTAGTGACAGGATGGACTAGGACGTTGATATATTTAGTGGAAATAGTAGATAAACCGGTTGATAAATTCAGTGGGAAGATGAGCTAGTACGTGTTGATATTCACTGAAAAAATGGGATAGAATGGGTTTATACTTTCAGTGGAAAGATCAGCTCGGATTGCTGACGTCTTCAATGGAGCAATGAGGTAGGATGAGTTGGTATATTTAAAGTAAAAAATATTTACTTTGATTTACACGTGTTTGTTTTATAAGTGAATGTGGTAAAAGAGATGCTATATCTGTCCAGAAAACAGGAACTTTTTGGGTGTTTCTTGGGAATCTGATACATTTAAATCATCTATTTTGATATTGTAATAAAAACTGACTGGTAGTCGAGTAAAGGGGCAGTAAAGTTGAGCAGCTCTATCCCAAACCTTAGAGACATAAAAAAAATCAACGAAGAATTGCAAGTTTCCTCGTGAAAAACAGTTTTAGCCAAGAGTTTATAGATTTGAGAGAGAAAACAAAGAGGTGAAAAAAGATAATTTTACAGTAAGGGGTCAACAAGGAAATATTGGGCGCAGTTTTTAGTTAGGGGCCATCTTAGCTCTCGTAATTATGCTTTCTTTTTCTCTTAGAAACATATTTTATGAACATAATAAGCAACGCTTGAAATATGTTACTGTAATGACGATTCTTTGACGAAAAAATACCGATTAACTCTCTTAATATTGTTTATAACATACAAATGTGAAATATATTCTACACATATTCGAAAAATTCCTCTTGATTTGGTGTACTGCAGAGAAAAAAAAACGACAAAGAAAACGCGAAATTCGAAAATATTTTGTCAAATATTTTCATGTCGTATGTTTTACATTTCCTGAAAAACAAGATTACGATTAATGTAGTGAAAATATTCATTAATAATTACAATACACGTCAAACGTTTCCTGGAAACATTCGTCGAATATAACTATAATACGCATATGCTTCTTAAAAACGTTATGATACTTATAATACGTTTACGTTAACACAATTACGCCAAATATGTAACACGTTTCGTGAAAATATCCATTGAACAAAATAAACCACTCATTATACGTTTCGTGAAAATATATCCGTCAGACAAAAATATACATCACACATAATACTTTGCGTGAAAGTTTCTTTCCATAGAATTAAGGTAGACATGTTTCTGAAACTATTTGTCAAGCAAAGCGGCGGTGCAATTTACACATTTGCAGAAACTATCTTCCCAAATTTTTCTTAATAAGATGAAGCCTTTTATATTTCTTACATCATTTCAAGAAGTTTAAGAAGACTAGCTTACAAATTACGAACTTACAAAAATAGAAGTGCTGATTTTACCAAGTAATAACCACTTACGTTCAAGCAACTAAAATACAAAAAGATATGCGAGAATCCGAGCACGCTGAAGAACTAACACCTTTGTGTATTATAAATATATACACTATGTTTACGTATATGTAAAGATTTCAAAAGAAGAGGACGGATTGAAAGGCTTACACGAGACAAAGCAACGTATCAATTCTTGAATCGATTTGAATTGCAATACTATAAACGTAGCAAACAATTTTAATGTCTTCTGTAACTTCTGAGTAACATATAGTTACAACAGCTACCAACCTTCATAACGTTTGATTATATGCACACGCTCGCCCGCGCGCGCACACACACACACACATATATATAAATATATATTCATATTAAAAGCTTTCTTTACAACATCGGTTGACAAAAGCATGAAAGAAAACCAAAACAACTTCTGCAAAGATGGACAATTTTCACATACACGCATACTTTACACGAACAAAGTGTTCAGTGCACCTGTAAAATACACACACACACACACATAGATTCGATCCCTGTAGCAGGAAAAATGGTAGCCGGGCTCTATTCCACTACAGCACAGTGGCAATGAACAACATTTTTAAAACAACACCAGTGGGTTGGGTTGAAATGCAAACTGTTCCTCTGCTCTTTCTTGAGTGGGACGACATTTCGGTTTTTATTTTAATATAAAGCTTCGGTACAAGGATCGAAACGTGTTCCACTCAAGAACCAACAGAGGAACAGTCCTAATTCCAAACTTAGAATGATTACAAATCCCTAAAGATTTCCATAACTCTTAACAAATCGGCAAGAAGACCATGCCTTTCACATAATGGTCAAAACGAGATACAACGGAATAGAAAAGTTCCTGTTGGAACATACTCACATACAAAATAAATGAATAAAACTGTGCCGAATAATATTACATATAATATCAGTTTATTGTACGTGTTTTTTAAGACTGATATATCTGCTAATTCAGATGTGCAGTAGACAGTTTTATTTCTGCAGTTCGTATGCTTGTCTGGACTTTTTACACCCGCATGAGAGACGGTTAAAACACATTACTCAACCAGCTATAATACTGCTATTAACCTACGAGGTGTAAAATAGCTTCCCGTTATTAGCGAAGAGTATAATAATGTATCTTTAGAGATATCAACCAGCTATAATACTGCTATTAACCTACGAGGTGTAAAATATCTTCCCGTTATTAGCGAAGAGTATAATAATGTATCTTTAGAGATATCAACCAGCTATAATACTGCTATTAACCTACGAAGTGTAAAATATCTTCCCGTTATTAGCGAAGAGTATAATAATGTACCTTTAGAGATAATTAGAGTCCAAAAGGAAACAAGGAGTGTATAACATTATCGTTTGTGGCTTTATACACACACACACGTATATATATATATATAAATAAAATAAAAACAATTCTATACTTTAGGCTATATCTAATAAAATATAATAATAAGAAGAAAACTGTAACGAAATGTACTTATTTTCACACTTGAATCTGACTAGTTGACTTGCTGATAAAGAATGATTTGTTTTATGGTGCTCCATTTGAAGGTCTGGTCGAAATGAATCTTGGTATTTTCACTAGGTTGAATAACAGAAAATTAAAGGCTAAATCCATGTGGACTACTGGAGTATCAAGTCGTCACGAGGCTGACTAGAAAAAAAAAAGAGTATAATAGTTAATATGTTCACTAAGCAGGGAACTGGGAAGTAATGTTTGGGAGTTGTTGTAGAAGGAGTCTCCTGCTTTCCACCGGGTGGTAGCTGGTAAGATGGTGGCTCAAGCCTCCTGGGCTGTAGAAGATGCTTGGGCAGAACTTGCATGGGTAGAAGATGTCTCCCAGGTGAGGGTCCTGGAGTGAAGATAACAGTCCAGGGTGAATTAAGTTGTGTTTGGAACGATCCGCCAGACTTCTGAAAGCTTTGCCACATTGGCAGAAATAGTCTATTTCGGAATTTTCCATTACTTTATTATGTGTTTGGATGTGTTTTTTAAGATATGTCTGTCGCTTGAACTTCTTCCCGCATACCTCACACCCAAACTTTTCTCCTTCCTTAATTTCTCCTGCACCCGACTCTAGCACAGGTGGATCTGACGAAGGAGTAGCTACGTTTTCAGTGGAGGAGGGCTTTGTCTGGGTGGCAGGGAACTTGGTTGATGTGGCTACAGTATCTTGGCGAGGTTTGTGCCAGCGACGGTGAGAAGCCAAGTTGGCTGGGCAGTTAAACACTTTGTCACAGTCCGGACAACGGTATTCCACGTGAACTATGCGAGAACAGCGGTGCTGAGCGAGACAGAAAGCATCGACGAATTCATCCTTACATAATTGGCACGTGTAGGCCCCCAGCTTGTTGTCAATTTTGGCCAGCTCGGCTTTGGCTTCTTCGCTAACGGATACCAAGTTAAGACTAGGATCGATGTCACCTTGTTTTACAGACCCGGTCACTTCTTCATCACTGTCCAGATCGAGGATAAACATTCCTGAAACTGGAGACGTCTTATCATCGTCAAAATTTAGATTACGAGCAAATTTTCCTTTCCGAAGAGACTTTGTTTTACGTTCAGTATCGGGACTTGTTGACAGGGTTCTCTTTTTAGGAGTCGGACACAAATGGGGTGGTTGGGGAGCTCTGAGAGGTCGAGGAGGAGTTGCAGGAAGCTGATCCAGCAGAGATGTTTCCTTTGTTGGGGTCCCACATCGACGTACTGTGGTTAACTCCAATGGTTCATCTTGTTCTTTCGCCAGGCCACTAACCACTATTGACGGAATTGAAGTTACTGAGCAGCTATCACGTTGTTCTGCTTCTGTTCTACGAACGTGTGAGAATGTCGAGAAAATCTTCGAGCCTACAGAAATAGGATTATGTTGACTATCTTTCTCTAAAGTAATAGTTCTATGCGCTATGTCTACACACTGTCTAGGTCGAGCGTCTAGGTAGGTATGTGGGTGACAGCCGGACCTTTTCACCAGGAACCCGCGTGGCATGGTAGGAGGACGGTTTCACAGCATAACAAGGAAAGAGAGACATTCAACACTACTGCCAGCTGATTGATTTGCCAAGCAACGGCGTTTGTTGAGCACGTGCGTACGGTTGCTCACGTTCTCTCCTACATTACAGTAATTTTGGCTACAACCGTATCACATACCTTTGTCTTTTATTCCTCGTGCTTTTCAGTGATCACGTGGTGCTTGCTCCGCCTCAGAGCATCAATGAGTAGCAAGCGTGAAATTTTATTGGATAAACGTCACCAAACCTCTGATAATTCAGCCAATGAAAATATTAATTTCTTTCTTTCTTCCCCCTTCAAATTTGAAAGTTGATAGTATACAAATATAAGTTTGTAGAAATCGTATAAAAATCGCTGTTACCTTGTTTCTTTCATCAGTTATCTAACCGCTCTAGTATTTACCGAAACCTGTTCAAGGTACCACTGATATTTCTCTGGGTCCAAAAAGAATAGGACAAAAGTATCTATCAGTAAGCACAAAAAAGTGTATATGTTTTGTATGTAAACCAGTAAAAGATATAGTAAAGATATATCGTATATCATGTAGAACACAAAAATATCAGTTTTATATTATCTTGGTCAATGAAATATGCAACAAATTTTCCAGCCTTACAGATTTCTTTAAAATCATGTTTTTTATTTAACAACAACAACAAGAAATAAAAGTAAATAAGACTTCGAAGTTAACGAAGAGATAGATTTGTATAACGAAATGACTGACTAATCTTTAAGGGTGAACTGCCTTGACCAGTATATGAAACAGTAAATTCAAATGTATAAAATACATTTATTTCAAAGTACCTATACTCTGTATAAAACATGCAGAATTATTGGCAAAACAAAAACAAAAACAAACATGTAATTTGGCGACAGCCAATGTCTCCGCTTCAATACAATATGTAATAATCAGTTGTTAAATGAAATTACTTGTCTTACGAGCGTTTGCATTCCCTGGTGGTTAAGCGGTAAACTACAGGAGTTATAACGCGGAAAATAGGGGTTCTGTATCTGCGATAGACAGAGTGAAGATATCCAGTTGAGTAGTTTAGCACTTAAGTACAAACAAACTAACAATCACGAGCGTTCGTGAAAAACCAGGAGGTCGAAGAGACGTAAGGCAGTTACATTATATTCTCTCTTTGATGATACATTCGTTAACAGTATTGTTTAGAATGGTTAACATATTTATTTTTAGCATCATATTTTTGTTATAAAGAATATTTTGGATTGTTAACTTAGTAGGTGGATATGGGGTTAAAATATATCTCTTAAGCTGGCCTAATCTTATGAGATATTGTCTGGATTACGGCCGAAAATGTCGCTAACAGCGAGCATATCACATTGATAAAACAATGCTTTCTAATCATTGCAAATAAGAACGTAGAAACAGAATATTGAATTATTTAAGCTTGTTTTGATCGGAAGTTAATATTAATATCTATTTATTTAGAATATACAAATGAAGAACAATTAAAAGAGAGGAATAGAAGAAGATTTGGTTGTTGTTAAGCGCAAGGCTTCACAGTAGGCTATCTATTCTCTACAAACTACGGGTATCGAAACCTGAATTTAAGCATTGTAAGTCTGTAGACTTACCGTTAAGCCACCAGAAAGGAGGCAATAGAAAAAGAAACCTAGCTATGTTTGTTTTTCATTTAAAAAACCCTTGTAATATATGTGTATTTAAACAAAATAATACTAGAGAAGTTGGTTAGAAATGCAACTATATCTTATGTACAAACGTACAAATTTAAGCGATAGGCACAAGGAATAGTTTTGAAATAAGCTACAACAAACTTTCGTACGTAACTATATAATTCACGTAAATTTGGAAAACGTTTGAACACTTAACCACAATGATTACTAAATAACTCAAATCTAAAAAAAAAAAAGAAAAATGGAGGAAGGGGCAGGTTCAGAGGAGATAATAATAGCTTTGATTTTGACCTAAAAGTAGTTTTTATGTTATATATTGTTCATGAAAAAAATTTTACATTTTTGGACTATTTTTTTTTTCTAAATTGAGTACTGTTCTTCGCGAAATCAAGAGATAGATAGCTTCATCGTTTTTAAGAATGTTAATGAAACTGCGATAGTTCTTTATGCGTTCATTTAGTACACAATATTCCACATGGACTTTAATATTGGTTCTTCTTATCAAACTGTAAAGGTTGGTTAAATTTATGCCCTACATTATATTCTATAGAGAATATTATCAAATAATTCATTACACGTACGCGTGTCAAAGAATAGACTCTTCGAAACTATTGTTAGTTAGCCCTAAAGTATTCACGAGTAGTTACAAACTAGACAAGTGTTTTCATCGACTTTTTAACAGTGTGGAACTTTTAATATGAATTACGAATATTTATCTAAAGTAACATGAATCGTAAAGCTAAAACGAAACAAACAAACAATAAGAAATAAATAAAATTCTGAAAATGACCCATCACCCTAACGGGAGTTTTATAGTGCTGACGCTTCCCATCGGGAGCTTGGTGGATAGGGAACTTGACTCGCAATCTACACATCGCTGGTTCGAATCCCATCATCGAAAATGCCTACTCTTTAAGCTATGGAGCGTTGTAATGTAACAGACAATCGCCTTTTTCGTTGATAAATGAGTAGCTTAAGAGTTTGTTGTGGGTGATGTTGACTAGCTGCTTTACTCTTAGTCTATCACTTATAAATTATGGATGGTTAGCGCAGAAAACCCTCGAGTAGCTTTGTACGAAATTGAACAAAACAGACGCTATACTTTGCCATGCAATTACATTATTACCCACACTAGAAAGCCTTGTTTATTTATATTTTAAAGTTGTTATAGTGTTTCCTGTCGTCATAGTGCTCTTTTGTGATAGAGATATGTATAAATCACAAAGTTTAAAGTAAGCCTCGTGGAAAACATATTGTTTAGTATTCTGGAAATTTGAGAGGAATTCTCTTTAATTCTAATTCATTTTGAATATTCAGTTTCAGAAAAAAGTCGATAATGGGAAAATGACAAATCAAACAAAGTTACAAAACCGTGTTTTAAAGCTTTGCTATGTGGATGATGTTTCGTAGAAGAATCATGTTATTCAGTTAATCTTTATTTCCATGAGTAAGTAACTTAATAGGAAATTTACATTATGGGACAATGACCCGTCTTCGTTTCATGACATCAAACAGGTAGTTTCCGTTCCTAAAAATTTCATGATTCGTTTTGAAAAAAAAAATATATACATATTTTTAATAATTATTTGCTCCCCCCGTGGCTCAGCGGTAAGTCTGCTAGCTTAAGACGCAAAAAATCGGGTTTCGATAAGGTGATGGGCAGAGCACAGACAGTCCACTGTGTAGCCTTTTGTTTAATAAGTACCAAACTAAGAATTATTCTAAATCAATTAGACAAAAAAAAAAGAAAAAAAAAGGCAGGAATAATTTTCAATGTCGTTTTTTTGTATAAACAACAGGATATTCAAATGATGATATCAACCGAGTCAGTTGCTCAACTAGATCTAGTGGGAGAAATTTACACAGAGCCGTCCTTAACTATCGTGAGGGACCTAAAAAGACTGGGGGGGGGGCTCTTTGGGAACCTGTGAACCGACTAGAACATTATCCTAGAAAATGCAGATCACGAAGAAATCTTTAGCAAAGCAGCACGCAACAGTAAATATATTTAAATAATTGCTCCCCCCTCTCACCTTTGAATTAAAATAGCAAAAATTACAGGAATCAAGATACAACGAAAGCTTCAGGTTTATTCCTAAAAGGGAACAAACGGTGGTATTTGATCCAAGCAGTATATCTCGCGAATCCATTTAAACATTTATAAATACCAGTTTTTCATAATAAAAAGGTGGCGTGGTTTTTAAGTGATAAAATAATTTGTTATATTGCTTTAAAACGTATAGTGCTAGAATTAAACCTGTGGCTGAAATATTGCATTGATAACATTCTCATTTTTCAAAACTTAGTCGCCTTCGCTTCAAAATTAAACCATATAATGATAACTTCTCACTCTTTGAAAGCAGTATTTACTTAAACAGTATAATCTCACACTTCAACATATATTCATCAACAGCCTTTAATTCAACTGTGATTTCTTACACTTCAACCATATGTTAATCAACAGCTCTAACTGAACAGTAATTTCTCACACTTCAACGATATGTTTATCACAGCTTTAATTCAACTGTAATTTCTTACACTTCAACCATATGTTAATCAATAACTTTAATTGAACTGTAATTTCTCCCACTTCAACGATATGTTCATCTACAGCCTTTAAATCAACTGTAATTTCTCAAACTTCAACTGAATGTTTATCACATCTATAATCGAACTGTAATTTTTCACACTTCAACGACATGTTCATCAACAGCTTTAATTCAACTGTAGTTTCTTACACTTCAACCATATGTTCATCAACAGCTCTAATTGAACTGTAATTTCTCCCACTTCAACGATATATTCATCTACAGCCTTTAAATCAACTGTAATTTCTCACACTTCAACGATATGTTTATGACAGATTTAATTGAACTGTAATTTCTTACACTTCAACCATATGTTAATCTGCAGCTCTAATTGAACTGTAATTTCTCACACTTCAACGATATGTTCATCTACAGCTCTAATTGAACTGTAACTTCTCACACTTCAACGATATGTTCATTTGCAGCTTTTAAATCAACTGTATTTTCTCACACTTAACGATATGTTTATCACAGCTTTAATCGAACTATAATTTTTCACACTTCAACGACATGTCCATCAACAGCTTTAATTCAACTGTAATTTCTTACACTTCAACGATATGTTCATCAACAGCCTTTAAATCAACTGTAATTTCTCAAACTTCAACGATATGTTTATCACAGCTTTAATCGAACTGTAATTTTTCACACTTCAACGACATGTCCATCAACAGCTTTAATTCAACTGTAATTTCTTACACCTCAGCCATATGTTCATCTACAGCTCTAATTG